TCCCTGCATGGCACTGTCGACCAACACAGCACATTCACTGACAGTCGCGCGTCTCCGGTCACTCCAGCCACTCATGCTGGCTGCCCGAGCAGGACACACGGAAATGGTCTACTTCCTTCTCAGCCAAGGCGCCAACGCAGAGCTGGAGACCAAGGTAAACCCGCCGTGTGTGTTTTGTGGTGCATGGCGTGTGTCGCATGCCGTCGTGTGCGGTGGTGCGTGTGCGGTGGTGCGTGTGCGTGTGCGTGGCTACTGGACAATCTGGGTAATCGTCAAACAAATCTCGCAGCGAGGCGAAACAGCCAGTTCGATGGCGCTACACTGGGGCCACACGGAAGTGGTGCAGGCACTCGACAATTGGATCCGCCAGCAGAAGCGCGATCGCGAAGCCCTTAGCTCGTCATCGTCGCTGTCCTCCTCGTTCCTGGCCAACCTGTGGAAGCCCATCCGCAAGGGCTCCGCCGACACAACGCCGCCCAAAGGCAGCAGCAAGGAGGCCGCGGCTTCCACGATCGTGCGGTCGAGCACGTCGCCGCCGTTGCTGACGGGCTCGTCTTCGCTCATACCGACCAGTAGTACTCCGGCCTCCAGTTCTTTGCCGTCGACACCGCAGGGTGCGCGCACGCCCACGTCACCGCCCATCAGCATCCTGTCGTCGTTCAGCCCGTCGACGTCGACGTCGACCTCGTCGTTGTCGTCGACATCATCGCCGCGGTCCACGCCCGAGTCGTCGTTGGTGCGCGAGGAAGACGACGACGAGCAGCACTTCAGCGGGCTGCCGCCGGCGGAGGGCAGCGTGATCGACGGCAACCGCATCTCGATGACCCACGAAGAGTTCAACGCCATTCTCGCCAAGGAGGAGCAGCGGTACCGCGACAAGGAGCGCGAGCTCCGCGCGCGGCTGCAGCGCGATCAGGAGAACAATCTCAACCGATGGCTGACCTACCTGGCCAAGAAGAAGAGGAAGAAGAAGGACCGGGTGGACACCATTCAAATGCTCCGGCAGCAGAACGCCACTCTCCAACAGCGCAACAATGAGCTTCGCGATCGCGTGCTTCAGCTCGAGAAGGAGCGCAAGGCCTGGGTCACCTACGTACGTCTAAACATCACCATCATCGCCGTGACAACACCTGAAACGTCATCGCTCACTAACAGTGTGTGCGATTGCCCTCGCTCTCTCTCTCTCTTGTGTGGGTGTGTTGTGTGTGTGTGTGTGTGTGTGTGTGTGTGTGTTGAATACAGGGCCATGGTCTCTTCTGCCCGACGCCGGCGTCGCAAGGAGTGGAGGGCGGGGAGGCTCCGCTCGAGTGGTTGCCCATCAACGCCAACCTCGACTATTTTCGCAGCGTCGAACCCTATCGACGCGGACGCTGGGAGGTACACCACTCGAGCTCCTCCACGAAGTGCTGGGTACCCAGTTCTCGCGCGATGTGTCCGAAGAAGACTCATCAATCTGTTGGCGGCAGGATCCATTGCAGGGCGTTTGTCTGCTGAAGGGAAGAGGCCCGAACGCGACCACCTACACCATCAAGGTTCGATGACTGCTGCATGGGTGGAGGCTTAGGCTGGCTTCGAGTCTTATGATGGTAATGATTGCGTGGTGGTGGGTGATGGTGGACAGACGGCGCTGCTTGCGAGCCGACAGGGCGAGGAGGCGGCGCTGGCGCTCGAGAACGAAGTGGACTCGACGCTGTTCCACCTTCCGCCCCACCCCAACGCGCTCAACGCCGTGCTCGCCTTCACCGACTCCCTGCCTGCGGCCGTAGCGGCCGAGGACTGGCCATCCCTGCCCAAAAGCAAGAAGGGTACCGCCAGCTACGCCTAATTGCAGAATTCTATTCGTAATTATGTTATTTTTATAATTGTAATTGTAATTGTTTATTTATTAATTATGATTGGCAATGTTTTCCCGCCAGAGGTGAGTCGCAGCGCCAAGTTCTTTGTATTCGAGGACCTGGAGAACTACACGACGCTCCAACGAGTCATACGACAGCGCAAGCGCAAGACCGGGTCCCGGCTCAACAACAACCAGCAGAGGGAAGGCGAGGAGACCACCTCGGCAACTTCATCGTCGTCGTCATCATCATCGCCTCGACGCCACCTGCTGCAGCAGCCGGTCTACCTGCTTCCACCCAAGCACATCGCGTTCCTAGTGCTGCAGCTGCTGGAGATGGCCAACCACCTCTACAGCCACGGCATCGTCCACCGCAACCTCAGCCCCGCCAACATCTTCGTGCGATCCACGGCCGCCGCCGCTGCCAACAACGCCAACCGACGAGACGACACCGACAGGAATTCCACAAATGCCAAGAAGAAGAAGAAGACGAAGAAGAAGGAGCAGGGTGACGGCGACCACATCGCCACGCGGGCGCACAGGAGGTCGCGAGAGGCCGATGCCAGCCCCGGCGACCCGGCGGGCGAAGGGGTCCTGGATATTGTGCCCGTGGACGGCGTGGAACCGGTGGAAGAGGGTGACGATGCGTCGTCGACACGAGCAACGAGTGCCAACGTGGCATCACGAGATAGCGAGGATGAGAGCGAGGACGAGGACGGTGATGTGGAACTGATCGACGTCAGCGCCAACGAGACCGGCGACAGCAGTGGCCAGGACATCTATCGACTGCGGGTCGGCAACTTCAGCGAAAGCATACAGGTCATGAAGCTGCCCTACAGCTCTCGGTACGCCGGCTTTCACTGATCTCTGGCCTCTCTGCTCGGTCGCTGCGGCCGCTCTTTTGCACTCTCGCAGCGACTTTTAGGGCTGGCGTGGGCTGACGTGGTGCTATGAATGATCGTGCAGGCTCATCTCGTTGGGCTCTTCTCCCTCCAGCATCTACCTCGCCCCGGAAGTGTCATCGGTACGCTCGCCAAGTGCGACACACACACACACATGACACACACACACGCACACACGGCATACCACGCTGTTGGTGGGCTTACCGGTAATGCAACGATAGGCGCGTCCGGGAAGAGGTATGATGGTCGACTATCGGAAGCAAGACGTGTGGTCCATCGGCGTCATCCTCCACCAGCTCATCTACGGCCGTAAACCCACCGCCGAGTCCATCGACGCCCTGCTCGACCATCACCACCACCTCGACGAAGGCCAAGCCGCCGCCCAGACAAGCCGACACACCCTCCGACATCCACTCAAACAGCCGCGTCATCATCAACAGCATCAACAACCGCGACATTCCAGAGATAGCGATGATGATGACAATGGATGGACAACGACCGCGCTCGACGTGCTGCTGCGTCGACTTCTCGAGCCGCGCGCGAGCGAGAGATTCTCGGCGTCGTTCGCGCTGCTCTTCCTGCGCTTCGCCCTCTTCGGGCCCAAGCAGCGGCCCATGTGGCGCACCCACGAGCAGTGGGTCGCGTGGCTGCGCGAGCGACGGCGCCTGCGGCCGCACCCCTTCTACGGCGAATGCATGGCGCGCGGAGGCACGCGGCTGCTCAAGAAGACGACGACATCAGCTGCGGCGGCGCTAGACGAGGCCGGCAACGTTGTTGATACGGCGGGCCAAGGCGTAGTTGAAGGTGGCGACGTAGATGGTGGCAACGACGACTACGTGCCGCGCTACCTGGAGTGGCAGCACACGCAGTTCGTGTGGAGCGCCACCCCGGCCGACCTGCTTGACGTTGTCTCCTGCTTCGAGTCCTCCGCGTAGTGGTGCTTTGTATTTGTTGTTCTTTTTATTTATTTGTCGATTTTGTACTAAAAAGGGAAAAAGGAAGTAATTATTATTCTTCTTTTCAAATAATACAAATGGAGCAGGCAACGACAGCGGAGGGGGCGACCCCAGCACCGGCGAGTACGGGTGGCTGGCGCAACCCTCTCCACGCGGCGGTGTGGATGAACGACTACGCGGGCCTCGATGAGCTACTCGCCCGGGCGCTGCGCGGTGCCCCCTCAATCGGACCCGATTTCGAATCAGCCGAGATGATGGCGACCTCCTCTTCCAGCTCCTTGTCTTCTTCTGGCTCGGGTGGTGGGCTCGAGGCGGTCTACCTGGAGGAGGAGGAGCACGGCCTGACCGCCCTCTACGCGGCCGTGCTGCGCGGGGATGAACGAGCGGCCGAGGCACTCCTGGCCAAGGGCGCCATGCCCGAGAACGGCGGCTGTCGTGGCGTGCCGCCCCTCTTCTCTGCCGCAGCCCGCGGCAACGCCGACCTCGTACGCACCACCACCCCATGACCATCGTCTTCCTCTACGTTTTTAAAAAATTTATAAGGCTCTTAATTCATGCATTTATTGGTACTTATGACTTGCTGTCTGCTGCTGTTGTTGGTGCAGGTGCGGCTGTTGCTGAAGCATGGCGCGGACCCGAACAAAGAGGAGAGGAAACAGCGGCTGGCGCCGATCCACATCGCGGCGGACAAGGGCCATGTAGAGGTACAAAAAACCAAAACAGAGCTCATCAGGACTGCCGCTCTGTTGTCGGTTGAGGCGCTGACGCGCGCTGGTGGGTTCGGTCTGAATGCACAGGCGATCGAAGCCCTGTTGGAGGCCGGCGTAGCGGTCGACCAGAAGGCAACACAGGGTGACATGACCCCGCTGCACCACGCCTGCTCCACAGGGCGCCTGGAAGCCGTGAAACTCTTGGTACTTCTACACACACGACACACGACAGACACACGACACACGACACACGACACACGACACACGACACACGGCACACGGCACACGGCACACGGCACACGACACACGACACACACACTTCTTATATACATGCGTCGGCACCCACAGCTGGACAAGGGCGCAGCCGTCGACGGGCTGAACAACCCGGGCAACACAGGCCTCATACTCGCTGCTGGCCGAGGTCCGTTTGTTTTAGTTTTTGATTTGTTGGATTGCCAACCAAGCCAAGCGTTAAGTTGGAACAAAACATTCGACTCACACTGCTGGTGCGCGCAGGCCATGGGGAGGTGGTGGACTGCTTGGTGTCGCGGGGCGCCAATGTGAACGCCCACTGCAAGCGGGACGGGCTTACGGCCCTGCACGCCGCGGCCTGCTTCGGCCACCCGGACGTGGCGCGCAAGCTGATCGCCGCCGGCGCAGCCGTTGACGCCGCCTTCGAGCCGTTCCGTCACACGCCCCTCCACCTCGCAGGTATACAGACCTGCTGCAGCCCTCATTCCTAGCCACGCGTCTGCGACTGACAATCCACCGCACACGCACACGCACACGCACCACCGCACCGCACACGCACACCACCGCACACATGTGACACAGCCTCCAAGGGGCAGGCGGAGTCGGTCAAGGTGCTGTTGGAGTGCGGCGCCGACCCCAACGCTCGGAACAAGCCCGGCGCGACGCCGCTCCGACTGGTCGCGTCGGCCGAGAGCGAAATGGTCGACAAGAAGGTGTTCCGGGACGTGGCCGGACTGCTCCTGGAGAGCAAGGCCGACATCAACTCCGCCAACGATCAAGGTACCACCATCAATCGATCGAATTCTTTTCATTCCACTCAGTGTGGAATGCCTGCTGATCGGTCGCTGACGTCACCGTCAAAAGGCAACACGCCGCTGCACGCGCTCGTGACCAAGCAGGCCGCGCTGGAGAACATCTGCTTCTGCTTGCAGTTCGGCGCGGACGCCAACTACACCAACAAGGTGCGTACTCCCCGCGCGCACCGCACACACATCACCGCACACAAGGCCAGCCAAAGGGAGGGCACTAAGCTGGCCTGGCCGATTTGGCCGTCGTGTGCGCAGGCGGGCAAGAGCCCGTTCGACCTGGCGCCCAATGGTGACATCCACCTGGTGCTGATGTCGTTCGCCGAAGACCGGTCCACACAGGGAGTTGTTCGGGAGCGTACCGCTTCGGTCAGCCTATCGTCTCCCAACCTCCCCAGTCCACGGTACACACACACACACACACCGCACCATACACACCGCACCGCGCACACACGCACACGCACACACACACACACACACACACCGCACGCACGCTAACGATGAAGTGGTGAACGTGTGCAGAGGAGCGGCGGGAAGCGAGGGTAGTCCGCTGAGCCCCGAGATCGTGCCGCGAGCACGCGCCATGAGCCTGGGCGGGTCCTTCGAGCGACCGGAAAACTGGGAGGCCGACGAGTCGGTCAGCGCCTGCCGCGCCTGTAATGCCAGCTTCATCCTCTGGCGCCGACGGCACCATTGCCGCAGTACCTGCCCCTCGCTCACACACGACACACACCGCACACGTTCGACCGCACACACTGACTTGTGTGTGGACCAGGCTGTGGGCTGATCTTCTGCTCGGACTGTACGTCGTTCCGGGCCATCGTGCCGCCGCACCAAGGCCTCCAGCGCGTGTGCCTCTCCTGCCACCAGTCCCGCAACCCACACGCCACCCAATAGACCAAAGTGCGCGTGCGCGCGTGCGGTCGTGCGTGCGTGCGGTCGTGTGCCATTGCTGTACAGCATCTTCTTCATTTTAAAACACACTCTCTTCCAGACTTGATTTCATCATCAACACCGGTGATGAGCTGCTGCCTGCTTCAGGCGGTTCTCAAGATGATGTGGATGCCGGAGGCGGTGTCGATGGGCTCGCTCACCTCGCCGACGGCCAGCGCGTAGGTGGCGTCCTCGAACGGCTTCTGCATCTCGCCGCGGCCGAACGGACCCAGGTCGCCGCCGCGCTTGGCGCTGCTGCAGTGGCTCTCGGTGGCGGCCAGGGCCTCGAAGGTGACCTCGCCCGACACGATGCGCTGGCGGTAGGCCTGGACCATGGCGAGGGCCTCCTCCTTGCTGCGGGTGACGACGGGCTCCTTCCAGGACGACGGGTTGCGCGAGCCGCGGTGCTTGACCAGGAGATGGCTGGCCTGCACCTTGCCCGACGAAGATGAAGATGAAGATGACTTCTTGGGGGCGGCGGCGGGGCGGCGGGGCGCTCCCACAGGCTCTCGCCGGTGGCGGCGTTGTAATAGTACACGCGGCCGGGTCGGCTGCTCGACTTGCGCTCCACCCAACCCTCCGGCAGATCCGACTATCAAACGAGTAGCGGAAGATGAAGATGGGGCGAGATTGGAGATTCGGAATGCATGTAATTTTGTCAAATTGTTGTTACCAAGGAGTGGCTAGAACGAAAGAAGAGGGCAAGCTTGAAGGTGGTACCATTATGTTAGGTGCCTGTAAATTGGATGAATGAAAACCGGTTGTGGCGGGAAGAAAAGAATAACTTTCACATTTCCAAACGGGGCAAAAAGAAAATAAATACAATAGTAGCGAGATGGAAGCCACAGATCCGTTGGAAGGGCTTCCGCCGGAGTTGATGCTGCACGTCCTCTCCTTTCTCTCGCCCTCCGATTTGGGCCACGCCACCTGCGTCAGCCACGCGTGGCTCATCTTCGGTGCGATTCATTTTTTTTAATAAATAAACATATTTATTGTATTCTTTGAATATAAGAAAAAGAGAGAATATTTATTATTATTATATATCCGACAGCCGGGGACGAGGAGCTGTGGCGGAGTCGTTG